GAGGATGTCTCAAGGCACTGGACAGACAGAGTTACAGACCCGAGCTGGGGGATCAGGGTGGGGGAGGATGGAGGGCAGGGGTGGAAGCAGGGAGATCGAAAGCACGGTTAAAGAGGAGGGTCTTGAGTTGGGTCTTGAAGGTGGCGAGGGAGGGGGCGAGACGGAGGGACTGCTGGATGGAGTTCCAGAGGGTGGGTATAGAAGGCCCGCCTGCCAATAATGGGGCGAGCAAGGCGGGGGACATGAAGCAGGCCGGAGCCTGCTGAGCAGAGGGAGCGAACAGGGTGGTAGGGGTTTAGGAGGTTGGAGAGGTAGGGGGTAGCAAGGCCATTAGAGGGCTTTGAAGGCGAGGACCAGGATCTTGAACTGTATCCTCTGTGTGATGGGAAGCCAGTGGAGTTGGGCAAGGATGGGGGAGATGGGGTCACGGAGCCTAGTGCGGGAGAGGACAGGGGATGCAGAGTACTGGATGATCTGCAGGCTGTGGAGGGAGTAGTTGGGGAGGCCGACAAGCAGTGAGTTTGTATAGTCGAGCCTCAATGTAATGAAGGCGTGTATGAGGGTTTTGGCGGCCTGCGGTGTGAGACAGTGTCGGAGCCGTGAGATGTTGCGGAGGTGGGGGAAGGCAGAGCGGGTCATGGCACAGATGTGGGATAGAAAGGATAGTTGAAGGTCAAACAAGACCCCATGGTTCTGGACCGGCTTAGTAAGGTGGAGGGTGCAACCATGGATGGTGATGCTGTCAGTGCCTGAGGTGAGGAGGCGCTGATGGGAACCAATCAGGAGAGCCTCGGTCTTGTTGACGTTCAAAAGAAGAAAGTTAGCTCTCATCCAGAACTTGATGTCTGACAGATATTCTGTCAGCACAGCAGTGCTGAATTAGTGCACTGAAGGCACTGGATTCAGTTCAAGGCACTGAATTGGGAGGTCCTCCCGACGTGAAAGGCGCTATACAAATGTAATCTTGTTGTTGTTGTTGTTGAAGAATCAGTGAGAAAATGGGAAGTGAACTGTCCTGTAAAAATAATAATAATCCTTGCATTTGATATAGCGCCTTACCATGCCATTGAGACGTCTCCAAGCGCTTTAAAGGATATACTAGAAAGCATTTTTGACTGTGTTTTGTGGATGAAGCGCAGCAGTCAGTTTATGGTCCGCAGTGTCTAACAAACATCCATGAAGTGATTGACTCATTTTATTTGGGGGATTTGGTAGTCAGTACATTGCGAGAAACTCCCTTCTCTTTTTCGTATAGTTCCATGGGGTCTTTAAAGTCCACCTGATCAGTCAGACAGGACCTCAGTTTAATGTCTCATCCGAAGGCCGGCACCTCCGACAATGCAACAAACAACAACAACAACTTGGATTTATATAGCGCCCTCCACGCTGGACGTCAGCTTAGACTATGTGACTATGTGATCTAAGTCCTAATGTGGAGCTTGAACCCATAACCTTGTTTCAGAGATGAGCGTGCTACCACTGCACCAGGCTGACTACCACTTTCAAAGTTGTTAAAAATCATTTGCAATACCTTAGCAATGACTGATGATTTTTCACACTTCAACTGAATAAAATTGTGCCATGCAACTCAGCCACATTTACATAGTGTAAATTAAGGAGGATTACCATATTGGATTGAGAATAAAGTTATAGATAGAATTGGAACCAGATGCATCAACTAATTTTATTCCCTCCGAAACACATGCACTAAAACACAGAAACTCATTTTGTTGGAACTTGTTATAATGACTTTACAGTGACCTACAACCTACTTTCCTCTAATATGAACAGTACTGCATATAAGTTAGAATCAAATTTTAAATAGGGAGTGGTCTTATTTGGTCCTGATTATATTTTAAAACTATTTAGTCTGTTTTGTCTGTGGTCCATACATATTGCTAGCCTTGGCAAAGAGAGGGTAGTGTATGCCGTCTTCCTCCAAATGAATGAGACTTGTGCTGTTTGTGCTCTTCAAAAGTGCCTTTTAAATAATAATAATCGTTGCATTTGATACAGTGATTTAACATTGGGAGGACATCTCAAAATGCTTCACTGCAAATTGCAGTCGGACTGTCTATTTTTGTAGTATTTTGCCCACAAAATACAGTCACACTTTACTGTATATTCTGTGAAATGCTTTGAGATGTCTTGCAGACGTGATAAGGCGCTATATCAAATGCAAGGATTATTTATAGTATTATTGTTATATTTTTGTAGCTGAATGCACAAAACAATGTCCCACAAACAGCTATGAAGTGAATGACCATTTTCTATCTGTGGGATTGTTGGCCAGGAAACTATCTTCTCTTGCCGAATAGACCCACAAGATCCTTAGTGGTTGTAGCTTAATGGTTATGAGCATGCACCTCGCAAGCGAGAGGACTTGTGTTTGATTCCCGGTAGAACAAAACGTTGGGCAAGTTTCCTTACTCCACACGCCTCTGTTCACCTAGGAGTAAGTAGGAACCCGGTTGTGAGTCGATTGGCAGATCGCTTTTCTAGGGGTAATAATTCCTTAAAAAAAAATTTGGTCACTTAATCCAAGACTGTTTGTGGGACACTGCTACAATCAATTGGCTGCTGTGTTTCGCCTACAAAACATGCAGTCAATTTACTTGACAGTATATCTGCGAAGCACTTTGAGATGTCTAGAAGACGTGATAAGGTGCTATATCAAATGCAAGGATTATTACTATTATAACTGGCAAACAGTTCCATGGTTTAATATCTCATCTGTGTGTGAAGGAGAGAGAGTTAAAAAAANGTACCCCTAAACTAGACAACAATTCCCATTGCAGTAATGCAACAGGCATTGTACATCGTTTCCACATAAGTTTTGATCAACAGCAACAATAACAACAACAAAATTACATTTATAAAATGCCTTTCACATCGGGGAGACGTCGCAAGGTGCTGGACAGTCAGTGTTTTGGACCCAAGCTGGCGGTCAGGATTGGGGAGGGTGGAGGGCAGGGGTGAAGCAGGGAGATCGAAAGCACGGTCAAAAAGGAGGGTCTTGAGATTGGTCTTGAAGAGGCGAGGGAGGAGGCGAGACAGAGGGACTGCGGGATGGAGTTACAGAGGGTGGGGGCAGAGTGGTTGAAGGCCTGTCCGCCAATGGTGGGGCGGGCGAGGTGGGGGATATGAAGCAGGCTGGAGCCGGAGGGAGCGAACAGGATGGTAGGGGGTTAGGAGGTTGGCAAGGTAATGGGGAGCAAGACCGTGGAGGGCTTTGAAGGTGATGACCAGGATCTTGAACTGTATCCTCTGTGTGATGGGAAGCCAGCGGAGTCGGGCGAGGATGTCGGTGATAGGGTCATGGAGCCTAGTGCGGGAAAGGACATAGGCTGCAGAGGTCTGGATGATTTACAGCCTACGGAGGGAGTAGTTGGGGAGTTGCCGACAAGCAGTGAGTTTGCATTATCAAGCCTCGATGTAATGAAGGCGTGTACGAGGGTTGCGGTGGCCTGCGGTGTGAGAACAGCTTCGGAGCCGTGCGACTTTGCGGAGGTGGGGGAAATATGTTAAAAAAGAATAGGTTTGGTTGCGAAAGAACTTTCGTTGTCGGGCGCTTTGACAAGTTCGTTCTGAGGAACTGTACAAGAAGGGAATTGTTTTTGAAACAGGAACCATAAATCACACAGGGAACAAAACAGTCGCAGGTATGGGGCGGAAGCGGAGGATCTCTGCCAATACAATGCGGTTTGTCTGATTGGCAATATTGTACATCACTACTCCGAAGGACAAGCGGGATATTGTGAGGACTCCTCCTGCTGCCGCCGCCGCTGCTGCTGAGGACATCCTCTGCTCCTGCAAACCTCCAACGTATGTCATCCAAGTTGATTGTACAGGAAATGCAAATAACATGATCACAACCGGATAATAATAATAATAATAATAATAATAATCCTTGCATTTGATATAGCGCTTTTCACGTCGGGAGGACGTCCCAAAGCGCTTCACAGAACACACTGTAAAGTGAATTGACTGTATATTTGTGGGCGAACGCGGCAGCCAATTGCGCACAGCAATGTCCCACAAACAGTCGTAGATTGAAAATGACCAATTTATTTATTGTTTTTGGTTTTGAAGGGATTATTATTAGGCTCTGTGTGGAGTAAGGAAACTTGCCAAAGGTTTCGCCCTCTGCCTGGAATTGAACTCAGGTCTCTCGCTTGCAAAGCGAGTGCTCTAACCACTGAGCTACAGGACTCCACACTCCAGGACTCCAACGTATGTCATCCAAGTTGATTGTACAGGAAATGCAAATAACATGATCACAACCGGATAATAATAATAATAATAATAATAATAATAATAATAATAATCCTTGCATTTGATATAGCGCTTTTCACGTCGGGAGGACGTCCCAAAGCGCTTCACAGAACACACTGTAAAGTGAATTGACTGCATATTTGTGGGCGAACGCGGCAGCCAATCCGTGTGATGACAGTGTAGCAGCCGCAGACTGCACCATAGCGTGCAAGGCAGATTGTGTGCAGTTTGCTTCTCTGTGGCCCTGTTGTACACCCCCCCCCCACATGCACACACACACCCCCACACCCCCCCACATGGCTCACCTGCTCTCCCAGCAGATGTGGGTGTGGCTGCCCCGCGCTGGGGCGCTGGGGGGTCACGTGGCTCACACGGCTGCTTTGTTTGGCGCTGGGATCACGTGACCTTGTCTCAGACCCGCCGCGCGCGCCCACTGGTCCCCCCCCCCCCCCGCGGGCCCCGACTGCCCGACTGACACCACCGCTTCCTCACACAGACTGGGCGGCCCCGCAGAGAGGCCGGCTCTGATTGGTGGATTGTGGAGCGAGGCCGGCTGTGATTGGTGGATTGTGGAGCGAGGCCGGCTCTGATTGGTGGATTGTGGAGAGACGCGGGCTCTGATTGGTGGATTGTGGAGAAAGGCGGGCTCTGAATGGTGGATTATGGAGATAGGCGGCCTCTGATTGGTGGACTGCGGCTAATGGAGCCTGTCGCTGAGTGGCGGGCGGGGCTGTCAGTCAGAGCGACGGAGAGCTGGTGCGTGGAGAGTGACGAGAAGCTGGTGACTGGAGGAGCAGAGAGGAGAATGGAACAGAACCGTCAGCACGAGCAGCTGAGACCCCTCCTGAGCCTGGTGAGAGCACAGAGACCACAGCAACCAGGGACCAGGGCATAGAGACCAGGGACCAGGGCATAGAGACCAGGGCATAGAGACCAGGGACCAGGGCATAGAGACCAGGGCATAGAGACCAGGGACCAGGGCATAGAGACCAGGGCATAGAGACCAGGGACCAGGGCATAGAGACCAGGGCATAGAGACCACAGCAACCAGGGACCAGGGCATAGGGACCAGGGACCAGGGACCAGGGCATAGAGACCAGGGCACAGGGATCAGGGCATAGAGACCAGGGACCAGGGCATAGAGACCAGGGCATAGAGACCACAGCAACCAGGGACCAGGGCATAGAGACCAGGGACCAGGGACCAGGGCATAGAGACCAGGGACCAGGGACCAGGGCATAGAGACCAGGGCATAGAGACCAGGGCATAGAGACCAGGGACCAGGGACCAGGGCATAGAGACCAGGGCATAGAGACCACAGCAACCAGGGACCAGGGCATAGAGACCAGGGCATAGAGACCACAGCAACCAGGGACCAGGGCATAGAGACCAGGGCATAGAGACCAGGGCATAGAGACCAGGGACCAGGGACCAGGGCATAGAGACCAGGGCACAGGGATCAGGGCATAGAGACCAGGGACCAGGGCATAGAGACCAGGGCACGGGGACCAGGGCATAGAGACCAAGGCACAGAGACCAAGGCACAGAGACCAGGGCACAGGGCACAGGGACCAGGGCATAGAGACCAGGGCACAGGGACCAGGGACCAGGGCACAGGGATCAGACCATAGAGACTGGACCACAGGGACCAGAGCACAGAGACCACAGGGACCAGAGCACAGAGACCAGAGCACAGAGGATAGAGAGCACAGAGAGCACACACAGAGAGCAGTGGGAAGAGCACAAACAGCACAGCAAAGAGAACACAGCACACTGTGACCAGAGCATAAGAGAGCCTGGTGAGGGCAAACAGTGACCAGAGAGTACGCATGAGACTGAGCCTGGTGAGAACGTAGTGAGCCCAGAATAACCTGAGCATGGTGAGAGCACATTGTACAGAGGGCCTGGTGAGAGACCAGGGCAACCAGAGAATCAGCCTGGTTATAGACATATATAGTGTGAGAGAGAGCCTCCTGATCCAAGTGAGAGCACAGAGTAACTAGAGAGAGAGAGGCTGACTATGAGACTGAGCCTGGTGAAAGCACAGACCACGGCGAGAGAGAGAGAGAGAGAAGAGAGAGAGAGTGTTAGCGTCTAGAGAGAGAGAGAGAGAGAGCGCCTGACTGAGAGTACAGCCGCCAGTGAGAGAGCCTCCTGAGCCTGGTGACAGCAGAGAGTGAGAGACTTTTATTTAAAAAAAACGTAAAACAGAACACTCAGCAGGTTAGGCAGAACAGTAGCCCTGCGCTGTCACTGTGCTGCCTGACCTGCTGGTGTTCCCAGCGACTTCTGTTTTTTGTTCAGCTTTTTTTGGTCAGCCGGGTGTCCGACACATGCGGAAACCCATCGCCGCGTTTAAGAGTATCCAAACCAGACTGAGATTTCCGTGCATCCCAGCTACACGTGGAAATCCCAGAGATAGATTGTTGGAATGGAATCCACACTCACTCCCTGGCCGGACGCATCCTGCTTATCTAATTCGGGAAAGTATTAGGCGCACGTTGGCAAGAGCCAAGACTTGGGGACCCCAGAGTGTGCAAGACCGCCACAGAGGGTCTATTCTGGCTCTACTCCGTCATTCCATTGCCAAGCATGTCACCTTGGAGCCAGTTCAGCTCCAAGCAGACTCCGCTTACCCCCCCCAATGAGTGAGAGACTGAGCCTGGTGAGAGCCCAGAGTCAGTGAGTATGAAACTGAGCCTGATGAGAGCAGAGTGTGTGACAGTGAGTGAGAGAGACTGATCCTGAGGAGAGCCCAGGTGAGAGAATGACTCTGCTGAACATGGTGAGAACCCAGAGAGTTAAGAGAAACCAAAGAGCAGAAAGAGAGAGACCCCGCCTGAGTATGGTCAGAGATGAAAGACCTGGGGTAAGAGCCAGCGAGCAGAGACCATAGATGAGGGGGGCAGAGAGACACCGAGAGAGGAGAGGGAGACACCTCTGTTTATCAATTGCGCCTCTATTCCCTGTCTCTAATTTCTCTCTGCTGTACCACTCTTCTTGAAAGAAGTTTTGAGTGATTTACGAAGAACCGATTAGTCCTGTTGTGTGGTCTGATAGGAAAGTGGAATGACTGGAGAGGCACGGACTCCTCTTTAATTACCTGTAAATTATCTTTTGTATTGATGTGTTTATTCAGGACTTATTTAGCGTGTTAGTAGAGATGTTGTGGTCCAGTCTCACGGTTTGCTCCTCGGAGTCGCATTATTCAGACGTTGTGCATGCAATCCACTATCTGCCTACTTTTGTTAAAATCCACGCACTGCCTGCTCAGTTTGAGACATTTGTTGATTTCAGCTGGGGTGCAGAAAAGTGGAAGAGGCTACAGTAAATTTAGTTCATCTTGGCTGGCTGGAGTTTCTGTATCTAATTGCCATCCAGTGACTGTTCCTGCACCATGTGAATGTGTGGAGGAAGTGAGAACAGGATTGGCCTTAGCTGTGATTCCCTCTAAGGTTTAACTAACCTGGTGATGTTCACTGTCCGGGCTCACAAGTGAAAAATAGCCACTTGGGAGAGGTGGAGTGAACTTGTTTGAGCCAGTGAAACCATCCGGATTCCGGTTGGGATGCAGGCGAGATTCAGGAAAGTAGGGGGGAGAGAATTAGTGAGAACTGACCTATTGCTTGAGGTTAGAGGGATAACTGGAGTGATCATAAATCTTATTGGGGGTTATAATTATCCTTGCATTTGATATAGCACTTTTCACGTCTTCTAGACGTCTCAAATCCCTGCACTGAATATACTGTAAAGTGAATTGACTACCTTTGTGGGCGTAACGTCTCAAACCTTGGCTTAATGACTCATCTAAAGGATGGCAACTCCGACAAATCAACACCCCCCAGCGCTGCATTGAAGTGTCATCTTAGACGAGGTGATTCCGAGTCTCAATGTGGGACTTGATATACTCATCTCACTCTGTGATGAGTCAGGCTGACACACCTACGTTCATATGTTCTCAAACTAAGAGCAAGCTTCAAGTGATTTAGGAACATCAAGATTCTGGTTGGGCTGCAGGTGGGATTCAGGAAAGTGGGGGGGAGGGAGAAAATCGGCCCAAGCAAATCTTGGTTTCTACTTACTTTATATCTTGTACAACAACACGTGCTGTAGTATGTTCAGGTTATATTTTTTTCATCCAATACATATCTTTAGAACATAAGAGGCCATTTAACCTGTCACAATTATTCCACCAGTTTATCAGATCACAGTAGATCTTTTGGTCCCGTATGATTTCCTTGTTCTTGTAAATAGCATTACTTCCCAAGTATTTACTTACTGTATTTTGCTTTTAAACTTCCCAGTTAATGCTGTGGAACCATTTGTGTTCTACATTTTCACCACCCTCTGTATGAAGTAATAAATGATAATACTTGCATTTATATAGTTACCTTCACATTGGAAGGATGTCTCAAAGCATTTCACAGGATTTACTGTAGTGTTGTTACTGCATTTACTAGAGGCTTGTTTTCTCATCTCATGTCTAACCATCCTTGCTCTTAATCTTTTAGTTTATGTCCCCTTGTTTTAGAATCCTCTATCAGAGGCCAAATCATCCACTATCTAGCTTTCCAAATCCCTTTGTTATTTTAAGCCTTTCACCCGTTAATCCCCTGAGTTTCAAGGAATATAACCCAAAGTCTATTCAGCCTCTCTTCATAGCTGAACTCTTTTATTCCTAGGTATTGATTGTGTGAATCATTGCTGAATGCACATGTTTTTCGTAAAATTGGGTAACTAAAACTAAACGCAGCATTCAAAATGCTCACAATATTAAAACTGAATGTTTAATAAGATTGTTTTTGCTAATTCTCCCAGCCATTTTTAAAAATAAAAATAATATATTTTATAATAATAATCATAATTCTTGCATTTGATATAGCGCTTTTTGCGTCTTCTAGACGTCTCAAAGCGCTTCACAGAATATACTGTAAAGTGAATTGACCATATATTTGTGGGCAAAATGTGGCAGTCAATTGTGCACAGCAGTTTTCCATAAACAGCCGTGGATTGAAAATGACCAATTTATTATTGTTTTGGAGGGATTATTATTAGGCGTGTGGAGTAAGGAAACTTGCCCAAGGTTTCACCCTGCCTTGTGTGGTGCACATCCACAGATATAAAGAGACATCAAGGGACCATGTTGTAAGGATGGTCAAGATGTCTGCTTTGACGTTACTTCCTGCCCAGGAAATGAAGTTAAGAACAAGCATCTTTACTATGCTCTTACCTTACAAACCGGTTTACAACTTTAGAACTACAGCACCTGCCATCTTCATTTTCATTTTCAGCTTCTGCACTTCAACTTCTGGCCACTCCAATTCTTCTTTTGCATATGTATAAAGTCTAGTTTGAGTATTTTTTGAGTATTTGTGGGATTTTCTCCTCATTGAGAAGCCTAGGTGAATGGTCAGGACCCATAGTGGAGGACACCACCAAGTTTGGAGAAAATAGAAGAGGCAAATTGAAGAAATATAAACAGGGCAGTCCCTTTATAATATGCTTCTTCAATAATATTCCTTGCATTTATATAGCGCTTTTCACATCTTCTAGACGTCTCAAAGCATTTCACAGCATATACCGTAAAGTGAATTGACTGTATATTTGTGGGTAAAACGCGGCAGCCAATTGTGCACAGCAGTGTCCCACATACAGTCGTAGATTGAGTGACCAAATTATTATTTTTTTTCTTGAGGGATTATTATCAGGCATTAATATCAGGTGTGGAGTAAGGAAACTTCCCCATGGTTTCCCCCTTGTCGGGAATCAAACCCAAGTCTCTCGCTTGCGAGGCGAGTGCTCTAACCACTGAACTACAGGACTGCACTGTGGACTTCGAGTTCACACCAGGTA